CGGAAACATCTTGCTAAAAATTGGCTTTTTTAGACTGCGAATATTTCAAATACAGATTTAAATGCCTGCCACGATTTATGTTTTAAATAGTAGATTACCAAAGTTCGCGGTATAACTTTTATTATGCCCAAATAAAGTCACTTACAGAACCAAGAAGCAAGTAGCAGTAGTAACAGTAACACTAAAAAAGTTACAAACGATATAAGTTAGAGTGTCAAAGAACGGAGTCAAAAGTGAGATTCAAAGCAGTTTTTCGTTTACAACTCGGGCTTCTAATATACAGTTTTCTACTGTTTATTTGAAATGAGTTCAGTCACTCGTCTTCCCTACTTTTACCAAAATAGTTCAAATTAATTTTTCTTTTGAGATTTCAGATATAGTTCTCATTGGAGTTTCATGGTATAAGTGAATTGTTTTTAGTACAACTTAGACAATAATACGGCGATCAGAGATCGGCGGACTTCTTCTCCATCTCTTGCAACTGAATTCCTTGTTACAGTTTTGGAAGTTGCTTTGTTTATACTTCTCCCATGACTTTTGCTTTGATTACGAGTTGCTCCTCGATCTTTTCGCTACCTTTTAGAGACAGTAGTCGCATGGAAGCTTCAGAAGGAAACATTGAACTAATTTAAATTAAAGCTTTTATTCATACCGAGAGCATATAGTGATTTTATTTGATAGCTTTCATTCAGAAGCACTTTTGGACACTTTTGTGGTCGACGAGAAGATGAATGCTTTGCAGATGATATTACAGTAACTATAGATTGTTCCTTCTTCTTTTTCTAAAACAGTTTTTTTTCCTTCTTTACCGCAATTAACGTCTTCGTCACTTCTTATGACTATTTTTTCTTTACCTTTCTTCTTTTTACCTTATTTTCACTTTATCTTTTCACTTTCTTTTCACGTACAAAATTTCCTTCTAGTTGATTAAGTACACAAATTTCAATCGGTGATTTAATATTGCTCACTGAAGTGATCACTATGGCGAGAAACACATTGATAAAATTTTTGAGCACTGATGGAATGAGGTTTTAAGGATAAAAGGAGCAGAAAAGCAAAAAAGCCGACACTCAAATTGAAAATATATATTATTGTCAGCTATTTTTTGTTAAATCTGTTTAACACTACCACGTAAACTTAATGGATACAAGTTGGTAAGTCAAAGTTATAATCGTTAATGGAAACTTATTATTTTTTTTGCTTAAAAAGATCTTTAATAAGATAAAAGTGGTGCTGGAAAAAAGTGAAATCACAGAGAAATGTAAAATCAACAAATGCTGTACAAAATGAGAAAGACAATAGAAAAACAGAAGTTTAAGTGGGACACAGCTATGACGAATGATTAGTATAGACTGGATAGGTAACAACAAGGAATAAGCTGGTATCAATGATGCACAATTGATACGCATTGTCTGTATGTGACGTCTGTAGGAAACAAGACAATTAAAAACTAAGTGATTTTTGCATATACACCGTTTCATAACCACCTTTGTTACAACAACATTACCATCAATTAACAAATAACAATTAATTTGGATGTATAAACAAAATCTATGGTAACTTATAAGAAAAAAAAGCAGTTAAAGAAAGAAAAGTACAAGAAGATCAACAAGATCTGGCGAATGAAATTTATAATTAAAATTGAAGTTTAGATCTAATTTCATTTCGTAAAAAAGAATTGAAGTTGTACCTAAAGCAACATTGCACAGAAAGTAAAGTTTTAAAAAGAACTGAGATGAAATAATGAATAAAAGCCCAAAATACTTGTCGGTTACAAAAAAATTAACAAAAACTAAAAAAAAAATCTTCAAAGCATTGTTCGTCTAATTATCACGACATTTTATTGTCAAAATTATTATCAACGTTTTGTGCACCATTAGTGTTTTTAACATCCTCGTCTTTTTCTTTGGTGATGAAAAAGTTTTTACCAAACAATGACTGAGGTAAACTGCCTAATGTAGCTGGCACAATAAACAGGCCAAAAGTAAGGCCTATAATAGTCACAAGAACGAATGCCCTCGCAATTATTACGTATATGCCAACTGGGCAAGATAATACTGGAATCATTGCTAACAACGTTGAAATTCCGGCCTGAAAATCAGCAAGTTATAGGAAACAACAAATGTTCGGAAAGTATGATTTTGTAAGAACGACGACGGGATGCATCATGTTTAGTGCAGCATTCTGTACTACAGATCAAAAAAAATTTTAACCCATTATACAATTTTCAAATGATTTGCATCTATAGAGTTTGTTTCCGAAAGCTCTTCAAAAAAGCCTGAAAAAAACTAGACGTTTGTAGAGCTGAAAAAAAGAAGCTTTAAAAGTAACCTTTAAAGTTGAAAGTCCACAATTTTGGAAAGTTAAGTACATTCGGTCTTCAACGGTTTTCTGCCTTCTTACACGAAGGTAATGAAAAGCGATATGTACAGTCAAGTCGACTCCTAGACCAGCAGTCATAATCACTGCCACCATTGTTAGGGGATCTAATTGATAGCCCCACAAGCGCATAAAGCCAATAACACCTAGAAGAAAATTTGTCTATAAGATAACGACTTATTTTAGCGACCGAATCAATAGCTAAAAAAAAGAAAAAAAAACTTAATAATTAGATGAAAAAATTTCTGTCACAACGGTTAACTAACCGCAACAGATGAAACCAACTGAAGCTGTTGCAATGATCGATGTGGCCAAATTTTGCGAAAATAAAATGAATGTGATGCAAAAAGCAACAACGATATATTCCATTGTCCTAAACATGAAAATTTTTGCATCTTTATTCCAGTATTTGTTTTTTTATTGCTTTGTTGGCAGAGAACAAATAACCATTTGACAAAATAGTGGTTTTTGACAAAGAATTTCCAGTATATTGTCAGCGCCTATTGTCAGTTTATATCTGGTTAGCGTAATAGGCAAAAAATTGTTAAAGTAAGTCTTTTTTGGTTTCCGAAATTTCAAAAGAGTCACCTTTTTGTAATATGCGGAACGTTAAGAATAACGTCCACCATTTGCGCATCTGTGTCGAATGGTACCATGTCGTACTCTGGAAAGCGTTTGGCTTCCTTACGACACATCGGAACTAATCGTACTTTGTCCTTCAACGAGTGAGTACCTTTATAACCAATCATCAGTAACATCTCCTTAATTACTGTCCTAAAAGACAACAGATACTGCTAACAAGCCACAAGAAAAAGATGAATAAAGAAAAATCATTTGTTGAAAAATTTTTTAAAGTTACCAAGAAACTGACTAATAATAAAAAATTTCTACCTGTTACCATCATTTTCATAGTGAACTCCGCCCTGCCAGGCATTGTATGGTTCCTGTTCAATAAAAGTTTTA